AATTTTCTTTAATATCTGGCTATAAAAATAATTACATAACAAATACTGATTATGTATTTTAGAGATTTTTATACTTGACTAATACTTAATGCACTGCTTCTGACTATGCCTTTTCAGAAGAACTTATTCTCCTGTGTTCTAGTGTCTTAAATGGAAATCAGAAGGAAGTCTGGAGAACATAGATGGATTCTAAGGCAACTAAAAGGAAATGAGTAATGCAATTAACACTCGAGAATCTAAAATATTATTTCTTTAAAGTCATATGATTTTTTTCTCTTATTTTCATCAGTTTTAGAATAGCCATTTTTTCACTCCTTGTGTTTTTTCAAGAAGAACTTTGCTTTTGTGTATGAGTGCTTGCTGCGTGACAATCAGATAAACTGGGAAGGCTTTCCTAATTGCCTCCTCCTGTTCCCTGAAACCTCCTGCTGTACTCTCTCAGACTCAGAGTAGCAAAGCATATGTTTTGATATTGAAATGATAATTGAAAATATGTAACAAATGTGTCTTTGAATTGAGATTTTTGCTTGAATGTTTTGAACCTGTAGGTTTTGGGACACACGGTAGAGGAAGTAAGATCTAAATAGAGATCCACAAAGGCTGTTTTAGACAGCAACGTTGTGAACACATTTCTCAGGGCAAGAAAGCTGGTGGAAGCTGCAGAAATACAGAGTCATTTTGGTTGGACATCCATTTTGAGATGGTCAAGGCCTAACTGGGCATGGTTCTGGGCAGCCTGCTCTAGCTGCCCCTGCTTGAACACCAGTTAGACTAGGTGATCTTCAAATGTTTCTAGCAAATCTGTGTGATTTTGAGCTAATACCCTTAGATCTTCTGCTATTTATTGCAGGTTTGATAATAAATAATTTCAGCTATTAGTGCCAGCTGAATAGCTGATATCACTGGCTAGCTTGTGACAGGACTTGTGTCACAGGGGTGTGCAAGCTTCCATTTCTCGTTTTTTTCCTGTAGTCGTCAACTTGTGAGAAGAATGCTGCAGAAACAATAAATCTGTTGTCATGATGCCTCTTGTTCAAGACTTTTTACAAATACATGTTAACTTTCCATCCATCCCGTGGAAATACCATCCCTGTGTTATGTAACACGCTTTACTTTCACCTGTGAGAGGGGCAAGTGCTGTAGATGTGGCTGCCAGGGTTCTGACAGTGTCTCAGGGCTGGTGGTGTGCTCACAACATCAGTGAGAGCTGCTGGTCTGAAAAATGGTGTGGCTCTGCTTTGTGGATGTCTGAGAGGCATTTTTGGCTGTCATGCTTAGAACAAGATTCCTCTGCAGGTCCTGGTAGAATCAGTCTTCATTAAGAGTTGAAAGGTAGCTTTTTTACAAAGCCTGTATTGGTTTTGGTCGTGCACATCTTTCTAACTGCTTTCTAGTAAAAACCACATAGAGATGTTGCCATCTTCTCAAGTTAACTTCACTGCATGATTATGGGTGTCAAAGATAGATGTTAACATATGTGGGGGGATCGAGTGTAAGAAAATAAAGACAGTGCAGAAGGTAATCTCACACCAGAGGAGTTGCAGCTGTACCAATCACCAAAGATTAGGAACAGGCCTGCCCTTAATAGGCCACAGCTGTGTCCACTAACAAGATGAGTGCTACAAAAGAGTGGGTCAGCTGGGTGAGGAGAGAGTTGGAGCCTGTTGGTTGTGCTGTGAAGAGAGTTGGAGGCTGTTGGCTGAGCTGTGAAGGAGTTGGTGCTGTGAGGAGCTGTACATGAGAAATCACCAAGAAGGTATGGGACTTTAGCAATAAGATGACAACAAACATACGGTCCCAAGGATCCTATGGGAAGATGGCCACACCACAGTGGGGGAACAACCTGGGCATTGGGGTGACATGCCCAAGGCAAGGGGATGGCTGGGGAGCAGGAGGGCCCAGCCTCACCAGGCCAGGGCTGCCACAGCTGTAGGGCCCTGCCCCTCTGCTCCAGTGGCAGCTGCTGCCTTGGATGGGTCCTCAGTGGCTTTTGTTTGCAGCAAGTGGCCACACACCTTTGCTTTCCCAAAAAGGATTTGCTGTTATATGTGTGCAGTCTCTATCACTTTAATCATCATTATTTCAAATACTGACATGAAATATGGAAGAGAAACATCCCTAATGGTGAGCTGGGCTTGAAAATTCAGTTCTCTGTCAAATACACAAAGGACTTTTTGAATGCTTCTTTCCATGATGCATTCTTGTTGGCTTTGAAAATTGGTAAATTGGTTGAATAAATTTTTAATGCTCTTTTTTTTCCCCTGACATTTTCATTTGGGTTTTTTATTCTGTGCTGGTTGCTCAGTTGATAAGAGAAGGAAGCATTGGCATGTCCTGGGAGGCCCTGCTGGGAACTGGGTTATCATGCTGAGAGGCTGCTGTGAGTGTTTACCTATCACAACAAAAGATCTTCTCATGCCATTTTATTATTGAATGATCTGTATTCCTCGCTTGAGCTTTTGGAGGCTCCCAGCAGTCCTGTCAGGCTAACCTTGCTGCAAAAGATGATTTTTTGCTCTTAGTTTGGCAAGTCAGCCAGGCTAGCCAAAGCCTCTGCCATCCCATGATGAATCCCTTCTGCTGTGACACAAGCCAGGAACCATAGCTGTGCTTCAAGAGCCATGTGCTTGCTTTTAGGTGACCCCATTTCCTGCTGGGGCTGTGGCACTGGCCTGTGCTTCTGTGGGGCTGCCTGGATGGAGCTGGTGGAGCTGCCCCAGGCTGGAAGATGTATTGTGTCTGATGGTGCTTGGCTGTGCTCAGGTTGTATCTCAGCTGACTTCAGTCAAAATATGGTTTTGGCTGACTGCTGCCAATGTACTTCTAGTTTTAACTACAAAAGAAATCACTGCTGCTTGTCAGTGTTGGTTCTTGTAATGAAATAGGGATTTCAACCACCAAGGCATGTGCTGCACCCAGCTGTGCTCTTTGTACACTGTTGAACTCTATTTTTACAGTTTGTGTGTGTTCCTTGTGGACATTTCTGTCTTTTGCACAAATGACTCATTGCCTAGTTAGTAGGAAATACTGCCAGTGTTAAGACAGAATGAAAAGCAGCTGTGGTTTAGTGTTAGTCCTTGTTTCCTTATGGTGATAGAGTTTTTTGCATTGAATCATAGAATGGCTTGGGTTGGAAGGAAGTTTAATGATCATCCAGTTCCAATCTCTCTGCATGGGCAGGGAGGCCACTCTAGATCAGGTTGCTCAGGGTCTAGCCAACCTGTACTTGAAATAACACACGGAATATTTTTAAACTAAGTTAAGAAACAATTTGTTCTATAAAAGTAATGAAATTACACAATAAAAATAACAATAATGCTTAGCTTTGGTTTTGTTTCTGGCTGTGGAAACCATGGTAAAGTTCTTTTTAAATAGAGTTTTGTGAACACCTGATGTCTTCGGTTAGCCCCTTTGACTTATGTGTGCTTACTTGGATTATAGCATCTCTTTCTTTCAAAACTATAGTTATATCTATCCTTTTATTTAATTTCATTGTACGTGCAGAGTGAATTGAAGAAATTTATTCTTTGTATCATTACATCAAACCTTGAAATTCCAGTACAGCTGCTAGCAACTATTTGCTTTTTGAATGCTTCTAGAGTTTGTTAGTTCTATTTTTGTTGTTTTCATCCCTTGAAAGTCAGAAATCAAATTTGTCCAGGTTATTCCATTTAAGTGTGTGCTGATTTCACCTTGACTAGAGCTAATTTTGTAAGCAAAAAATCCTAAGTTTAAATCCAAAATATAGCCCTGGCTGCTATGAAGAATAATAACTCTACTCCAGCTGAAACCAGCACATTCTCCACCCCTTATTCCATCTAGGTGCTGTTGTCATCTTATTGCAAAAGTTCCCATACCTTCTTGGTGATTGCTTGTGGGCAGCTCCTGACAGCACTGACACCTTCTTCTAAGCACAGCCAACAGACTTCAAGTCTCTCCTCACCCACCTAACCCTACTGTTTTGTAGCACTCATCTTCATTGGACACAGCTGTGGCCTGTTAAGGGCAGCCTGTTCCTAATCTTTGGTGATTGGTACAGCTGCAACTCCTCAGGGGTGAGGCTGCCTTCTGCATTATCTTTATTTTCCTACATTCTATCCTGCCACAGATGCAGTGCATTCTTATTAACCATGAACCCCCTGCCCATTCTTTGATATAATACACAGATATCATTCCAATAGTCCATGGACCACCCCTGTGAAATGTCTGTAAAGAGCCCATAAATGTCCATTGAGTTCCTTTAGTCCATGACTTGGGGCTCCATCTGTTGGGATGGTCACTCAGGGCAGGAGAGGAGGTGTTTTCTGTGGAGTTACTGGGCACCACAGCCAGCTCAGTTTGGGTCACTGCTTGTCATGCCAGCCTTGGTCAGCAGCTCAGCCCTGTGTAGCTGCTTGCTCACTCCCTGCTGGAAGGGTGAGTGAGGGAGAGAATCGGAAGAGTAAAAGTGAGAAAACTCATGGATTGGAATAAAGACAGTTGAGTAGGTATAGCAAAAGCCACACACATGAGCAAAGCAAGGAACTCATTCACCACTTCCCATGAGCAAGAAGGTGTTGAGCCATTTGCAGGAGAGCAGGGCTACATCATGTGTTACAGCTGTTGGGGAAGACAGCCTCCACAAACTCTGAATGTCCCCCCTTCCCTCCTTTTCCCCTGGCTCTGTATGTTGAGCATGATGCCATGTAGTCTGGGATATCCCTTGGATTGATTGGGGTCAGCTGTCCTCCTGTGTCCTCTCACAACTACTTGTGTGCCCCCAGCCTTGCTGCTGGGGTGGGGTGAGAGGCAGAACAGGCCTTGACTCTGTGTAAGGAATAAAGAAAACATCCCTGAACAGTTAACACCGTTTCCAGTACAAATATAAAACATAGCCCTGTACTAGCTACCATGAAGAAAACGAACTCTGTCTCAGCCAAACCCAAAATAGTATTTTATGATGAAAAAGCAATGTAGTATCTCTTTTGCTTTTATAACTGTAACTGAATTTATTCCTGTAGGTGTAGCATCTATGACTGTGCCAGTGTACATCGCAGAAGTGGCTCCACCACACTTACGAGGCAGATTAGTCACCATTAACACTCTCTTCATCACTGGAGGGCAGTTCTTCGCCAGCGTTGTCGATGGAATCTTCAGCTACCTCGCCAAGGATGGATGGAGGTTTGTGAGCCTAATAATTCTTGTTGGTAAAACAGAATTTGCATAGAAAGTGGTAAAACTGTGTTCTAAAATGGAACTTGGGTATCTTGCCAAAATAGATCCCTACTGCTTCTGCTTAAGCTTAATATTCACAGCATGCACAGGTTTTTTGACTTTGCTAAACTTTAAAGTGGGAGAGTAATAAATATACATCACAAATGTGAATGATTGTCATGATGTTTATGAAGGTAGCTTGCCTTTTGCATTTACAATAATTGCATGCTGATTTTTCAAAAGGCAAATTTCCAATAAGTAATGTGCTGTATGTGCAAGATAGAGGTGAAGTTTGAATATTCTTAATCTGAGCAGTGGTAATCTATCAGAAGGATATGGAAGGATACTGTAGGATAAATTTATAGCTAAAAGCTTATGTTATAAAATAATAAAAATCTGTTTTCTGGGCTGCACAAACCCAGTTCTCTCAGCCTCTTCTGTGTCACATGCTCCAGTTGTGCAACTCATCTTAGTGATCCATTGTTATTCCTGGTTTGTGGCTTTCTCTGGTATTTGTAGTCCTAGTGCAGCACAGTGTGTGGAGTAGTGAAGAGCAATAGTTTCTGCAGCCTGCTGGCATGTGCTGGGTGACTTTTGCAGTAATGCTGTGTTTTATGCCTGTGCCAAGTACTGCTCTGCTGGATTGAATGGAGAAATAAGCTACCACCTCAGTGATGAGGTATCCAAGTATTCCAGCTGCAGTGCTGGAGCTGTTAATTGAGGATGGTGTGACGTCCTCAGCTAGTTTATTGCAACCTGAGGCTGAGCAGGGAAGAGTGCAGATGGTCTGTCACCTGAAAGGAGTGGCCAGTAAACACATGGAGATAAATCACAAATATCTGCCCCTGAGTCATTACGTAGAAGAAGGAACATCACAGCAATTATTGAATCTCTTACTGACTGAATGGCTAAGCACTGGAGTGCTGCAACAAACAATAAGGAACTTCAGTTTTTCTTGGTTCTGCTTATTCTTGGAAATGCTGGATATTAAATTAAAATAAACAAAACAAATATTTAACATGACCCTTAGGTTAGCTTTATAAACTCTGCTAATGCCATCTTAATAGTATTGCAGCAGTATGTCAGAGAAGGAGAAATGTTACAGCAGACTTATTAAATTTCATGCTGGATTTTTTCAGGTCTGCTAGACATCTGGCTTCAAACACAAAGTCTTGTAATCTATATAGGAAAGAATTATATTAGATTTCTGAAAGCTGGCTTACTGCGTGAAATGTCTAAAATTGCCTGCTTTTACTCTAAATTGATTATATCAAAATGGCTTGCTCTGAAAATTACACCAACTCTAGAACTTGCAATGGATGTTCCCTTTCAACTAAACGTTTTCCTTTTGACCTGCTCCTTTTATTCAACTTTGATCAGAATTTTGCAGATTGGAAACTAACTTCAGTGAGGGAGCTCTGTCTGTACATTTCTTTCTTGTCTTGTCTGTGATAAACAATCCAATAGAGTCCAACTGGTATGAATCAAGCTTTCAGGAGCCTTGATTGATTTTGCCTTCTAAGATGATTGCAGGCACCCCACTGCTTAGTTCTGGAGGCTCTGCTGCATTTAAGTGACTGAAGGGCTTTGGAGGAGCAGAAATTTAAGCAATAGGAGTCTGAAGGACTAAATCTGCATACTTAGATGCATGAAAACATACTTCAGCATGCACTTTGACAGGATACAGCAGTTGGTTTTAATCTCTACGAGTTTGTTTTACTCTTCATTTGAAATAGAAAAGGCTTTCTAAATGTCACTCCAATAAAGATATTGAATCTACAATTTGGTGAGCTTCAATGGTCTATGTATTTTGTACACTGCTACCAAAATGTTTGTGGAGAAGGAAAAGTGTAGAAATAAATGAGGCCATTAATTAATTAATGAATGAGAGCATTAATGAATGAGGAATGAGAACATGAGTGGATTAGTGACACTGTTAGATACATTGACTGAAGACTACTCAGCTAATAAGCCTTCCACTGACTTTATGGTTTGAATTTATTTTCTTTCTTATGCTTTTCTTTTTTAACTAATAGTGAGCTATATAATTTTTAAAGTGTTACCGAAAAAAGAGAGCTGCTAACTGAGCTCTTTCTATACCAAGTTTTGATTGTATGACCTTTGGAAATTTTGAGTGGTTTTAAGAAGAACTTGAGGGCTCAGCTGGGGGTGGGAAGACTGGTCTGCATGCACATTGTCCTGGGATGGCCATCCTCTTTGCATTGCCTTTTGGGTATTCTTTTTACCATTCTCCAGTTTTCTGTCTGTTGTACTGCCCATGTTTTTCTTCATTAAATGCCTCTAAGAAAGTATTTTTCCATTTTTACTCAAAATGCATTTGGACTTGACAAATGCATTTGGTTCATTGCCCCTAATATAAGGTTTTCAATAATAGTTATTTTCTCCTTCCTACTCAATTAGCAATCTCAGGCATGCTTTATAAAAAGATCCAGGTAAGAGGCTGCAGAGTCACTGTGAAAGCAGGTGTCCCTCCTGGGGTGTGGAGAGAGGAGCTAGAGCAGAGATTAGCAAATCTCCTTAATCTCCTGACTGATGTCAAGGTGTGAATTTGTTTATGAGTACAGGCTACCTCAGTATTCAGAGGGACTGATTTCTGGAGGTGTTTTAATGATTATATCCACTGATGTGCAACTTGTGATAACTGCAATAATGTACAGGTGACACCAGACTGTAGAAAGTCTTTAATGAAAGTGAAAAGAATCTGGGTGAAGTGTGAATGGGAAAAGGTCAGTTTTAAAAACAGAACAAAATTATACACGGTCCTGCAATTCTTTTTATCCTTTTATTGTTTTACTGAAGAAAAATAGAAATGGGGTGTGTATAGAGCAGAGCCACCCATGAAAATTGGTGGTGTGCTGATCATTGGAAGTATAACTGTGCTTTTACCAGTGGTAATTCTCTGTTGAGTAGAGAAATTGCCTTGGTGCTGTAAATAGTAACCCTTGGGCATCTAAAATGCAGTTTTTATTTAAAACCTCACACTGCATCTGACTGAAGATTTAAAAGCAGACTCTCTGTAAGATCTTGTGTAAATTGCTGCGCTGGTGAAACTAAATTTTTTCAGTGTTTTTTAAGTGTTTCTGCTTATAGTCAGGAATTTTCAAAATTAAAGTGGGCAAATGTGTCTGTTCAAAAAATTAAAATGGGCAAACTACTGACCAAATTATACATTGTTCTCCAGCTGTTTTGTTTGTTTGTTTTTAATATGTTGGTGAAACAATTAGCAGGATTTCAATCTCATCTTTGTCACCAACAGTTCTTGGTTTTCTCCATGCATTTGCTTTCTCTTTCTGTTGATTATTGTCACTGAAGGGTTTATCCATTTTCAAACTAGTGTAATATTTCAGGTTTTTTGTTTAGTCTAACTTAGTGTCCTCAGGAGCAGTGGGACTAGAGTCAGTGGTGGCAGAATAGTCACCATGTCCCTGAGATTTCCTGGAAATGAAGGAAAGATCATGTTTTCTAAAATACCTGCAGAGTATGATTCTTCCCCCCTTAACTTGCAGTGAGAAAGAATACGAGGAGTGGGAGATTTGATCTGTAAATACAGTTTGACTAGCTGTAACTGAATTTTCTCATAGTGTGTTTTTGTAGGAAAATAGTAGATATGTATCTATTTTCTGATTTATTTGCAGGTACATGCTGGGCCTGTCAGCTGTACCAGCAGTTATACAGTTTCTTGGCTTCCTGTTTCTTCCCGAAAGTCCCCGCTGGCTCATTCAGAAAGGGCAGACCCAGAGGGCACGGAGGATTCTGTCTCAAATGCGTGGCAACCAGGCCATTGATGAAGAGTATGACAGCATCAAAAACAACATTGAAGAAGAAGAAAAAGAGGTTGGAGCAGGTATGCTGAATACTTGTTGGCCACTCTGTCTATCAATGAGGAGATAAAAATCAGAAGGAATGTTGAAGTTGTAGCCTGTGGGAGCTTGATGCTTTTATTTATCTGTATCAGTTTTGCTCTTTGAAGTATTTAATGTACTGGTAGCTTTAAAATTGAAGATATTTCTAGGATCCCATGCTTTCAAATTAGGTCCTGACTTCTTAAGTGAGGGAAGAGTAAAGTTGTGTAGGTTTCTTAAGTTTATACCACCTACGCTTACATGAGAATTGATTTCAGAAAATGGATCAGTTTAAGAATGCACATCTCCAAGAGTGGAAGTAAATAAAATGAAGTTTGGTTTCTTTCATCAGTGGAAAAGGCCAAACAGACATGAGAGGTCAGAAGGTATTGTACATGGTTCAATTATCCAGCAAACTGTACTCTAGACAAGAAGCCTTTGAAAAGATGTACAAAACAAGGCCTGTAATACAGAGATTCTTTTTCTGTAAAAGCAACTTCTGAAAGTCCGTTTGATCTGTCCTCAAGAGAATAAGGCACCTAAAGCAAATCACTTTTTTCAATCTTTTGCATCTTTGTGTCATATTTGCTCAAAACTTTGTGTTCATGTATGTACTTATAAAACAAGATTACCATTTGATTAACTTTCTGTACTCTGCATATTTTTTCTTTGCTTTCTGCAAAGAAAGTGTTACCTGAGAATGTCAACTAAGGCTCTTAAGAGTTATCCTTGATAGGAAAATACTGGAGTTTCTCAGAGCTGATGGAAAGAAAAATGGATGTTACTTTAAATCTGTGTAAACTGAGATTCAGCATCTGATAATACCTATTCTCACTGCCTTATGGAGTTTTCTTTGAATCTTACAATAAATAATTATGAGTCTAGAAAAAGATATTTGACAAATAGTTGAAGAATTTTTAAAATATTCATCACTAGTGTGAAGCAGGGCTGAGGTTTTTTTTCCTCACACACAGTTTTGAGGCTTTGGATACCTTTTTCCCCAGTTCTTTAGGGCTGGGAAATGAAGTTCATTAAAGCTAATTTGTTAAAAAGATGAAGTGGGTATTCATAGAATAGCTTGGACTTAAGAATCCCGTGCTTAGGTTCTTCATTCTAATTAGGGATTGGGGTATTCACTTCTGTGGAAAACCACTAGTACTAAAGTTTAACACTTTGTAGAAATAAAAAGAATGGGCATTTGGCCTACTCAGTCCCTTGTTTTCCATCACTGGGCTATAGGGTATGACCTTGCTTGTCACTCCTAAATCTTTTGTCATGATGCTTCTTGACAATTGTGAATCAAATGTGGTGTTGTAGTGCAGTAGGATTGACTCCATTGTTAAATAAATCCTTTATATATTTGTAGCTTGGACTGGGACACTAATTGTGTCATCAATCAATGAGATCGTTGTCAGGGATGTGCAGGTCTCTTGGTTCCCCCCACACACTTCCCCAAAAACTTAATGTGTTCCTGGAGTTTACTTAAATCAATCACATTTCCTAGGAGAAAGCTTGGCTACAGACAATCAGTGTTTTGCTCTCAGGTAATCTGCAGCCTCAGAGTTGTTACCCAAGGGCACTATAAAAATGAGTAACAAGTATGTGCTGTCCCATTTGTTATAGATGCTTAGCAGACAGGCATTGGGCAGCTGTGGTCACTTTTGATTCTGATTATAACTGTACTTCATCTCATTTAACTCAAGAACTTCATTGTTATAAAGAGGTACTTTGTATGTCAGCATCAAGACATACATTGCTTTTGTTACCTTTCTGTGACTTACAGGTGGTATTTACAGGTGGTGTTAAATTGTAATTGCTTTCATTTCTGTGAGGAGTTGTTTGTGTCCCCAGTATTGAATTTTGCTTGTGTAGTGCAAAAGCAGCTTTCTGTTCATGGTTTCACTGGCAGGTTTTCAGGTATTGACAACTTAAACATGTGCATCTGCAAAGACTTTGCATTTTATTTTGCTATGGGTATATTAGTTTGGGTGGGGATTTTTTTTTTTGTTGCTTTTTTTTGGGGGGGGATATCTATATTAATGGGAAACTTTTTTTTATTACTTTCTCCTATTTGTGGCAGACAGTGTTTTAAAATGTTGGTTAATAGCAGTGGCAGATGACTGTAATTCCTATCAGACATTTTGAACCTCATTCCAGTTTCACAAAAAACTTTAATAAACCTGAAATGACAGTGTGTGTTCATGACATTCAAGGAAAGATGACTGCATTCTGAAAATCATCTGGCTTACTTTTAGGTAAAAGTGCCTTTTCCTTTGCTGTGTTTTTCTTTCTTGAGAAAGGACAGATGTTCTTTTTCATTGACTGATGCAGAAGCATCTTTGCCAGTTCCTTTGAGCATCCCTTTCTAAGTGAAACTAAGGCTGTATTTGACTCCTTCTCTGCAAGGGAGTAACACAATGTAGCCATAACATCTTCTCCAGTCCTACACTAAAGAACTGTAATGCCTTTTGGAACTGTTTCATCAACTGCTCTCATCATGGAGGAGTGAATCATATGGAAACTTCATCTGTATTGTTGAAGCTACTTTAAAGTTTGGTTTAAATGTGTGTCGTGAATCTAGAGAACTTCATTGCATTTTCCACATGGTCATCAAGCAGCGTCTGTCTTCAAAATGACAAAAATGCCTTCAGCAACAAACTTCTGCTTCAGAAGTCTTTTATACAGTTATGGGATACCTGTTGAGTGAATGATTCACATTTCTGTATCCTTTCCAATACATTTAATCAAATCAGTGCTGCTGATACTGATAAGCAGCTTACAGTTTAGCATTTTCAGATTGGCATCAGGAAAATAATGTATCTTTTTGACAAATACTTTCCTCATGACTGGTTATGCAAATGACATTTTTTCTGGCAGCTGTGGATACTGCTTTTGCATGCTCTGTTATGTACTTGCAGTGTGACTTCTGGTGCTGTACCCTTGCATTTTGAGAAGGGGAAGGGAGGGCATTGCATTCTGCAGTAACATTGCAAGACAGGTCAAATCTTGGTCATCATCTAATCATCATCTGTTAACATCAGCTCTCAGATGCTGTACTGCAAAAACAGGCTGTTGATAGGAAAATTGGAATGAGGAAGATTTTAGAAAAAGAGTGTTCCCCAAGAGTTGAGATGCAGAGTGACCTTCCACCTCAAATATGCTATGGACTCACAGATTCCCCAGTGCTTGGCTTAGGTTCTGAAGCCTCATGGAGAGAAAAGGGAGAGAATGGTCAAAGGGGTTTGCAGTTGAGAGAAAGATCAAAGACATTGCTGGGAGAGCATTCTGGCACAACTCTTCCTAGCAAAACAAGTCTGACTCACACTGCTTTGAGTTGTAGTTTTTAGTACAGTTAAGGCAGAGGTTCTGTAGTGCACCTTAGTTAAAAATAGGCAATCAAATCATAGCAGTGCAGGTAAGCACTGGCACAGGGGCTTAATTGCAGAATCAAAGATCATGGAATGGTTAGGGCTGGAAAGGACCTTAAAGATCATCTGATTTCAATCCCCCTGCCAAGGGCAGGAAACTGTCTACTTGCAGCCTCATCCAGCCTGGTCTTGAATGTCTTCAGGGATGGGAAATACAAAACCTCTCTGGGCAGCCTGATCCAGTGCCTGAACACCCCCACAGTAAATAATTTCCTCTTAATATCTAATCTAACTGTGCATTCCTTCGTCTTAAGGCCATTCCCCCCATCCTATCACTACATGCCCTTTTAAAAAGTCCTTCTCCAGCCTTCTGGTAAGCCACCCCTACCTACTGGAAGGTTGCTCTGAGAGATCTCCAGAGCCTTCTCTGCTTCAGACTGAACAGCCCCAGTTCTCTCAGTCTGTGTTTGTAGGAGAGTTGCACCTCTCTGCAGTCAGCTGATTCTCTGGATTCATTCCAGATCCACATCTGTCTTGTGTGGGGAGCCCCAGAGGTGGCTGCAGCACTCCAGGTAGGGTCTCATGAGAGCAGAGTAGAGGGGAAGAATCAGCTCCCTTGACCTGCTGGTCACAGCTCTTTGATGCAGCCCAAGATGTGGTTGGCTTTCTGGGCTGGTGGCACACACTGCTGATTCATGTCCAGCTTTTTGTCCACCAGCACTCTCAAGTCCTTTTCCCCAGGGCTGCTTTCAATCTATTGTCCACTGTGTCTTTGTGCCTGAGATTGCTGTGACCCTGTTGCAGCACCTTGCACTTGGCCTTGTTGAACTTCATGAGGTTCTCACACACCCACCTGTAAACCTGTCAGGATCCCTCTGGATGACATCCTCTTCCTCCAGAGTGTCAGCTGCACCACACAGCCTGGTGTTGTCAGCAAATTTGCTGAGGGTGCACTTGATCCCCCTGTCCATGTAGCTGTCAAAGCTGTCACCATACTGACCCCTGAGGATTGTCACTCATCACTTCTCTCCACTTGGACACTGAGCTGTTAACTGCAAGTCTCTGAGTGTGACCATCCAGCCAGTTTTTATCCACTGAGTGGTCCATCATCAAATCCATGTCACTCCAAGTTTGGGCAAGGCTGTGATGCAGGACCCCATCAAATGCTTTACACAAGGGGGATGATATTTTTTGCTCTTCCCTTATCCACACTGCTGTAACCCCATCCTAGAAGTCCACCAGATTTGTTAGGCTGTGGATATAGATGAAGTAACTTGTGCTCTTAAGCAAATTAAAGTATGGGATTCGTAATGTTAGTTCTAGAGCAGGCACTTGGCAGTGAACTTAATGTGGTGGTTTGTGCATGAAAATAAAGCTGTCTAGCAGACCTTTTGTACAAGTTTTACTGGCTGCCAGTGTAGTAGTCGCTTCTGACTGGAAAGAAATCATTATAGCATCCAGTTGAGATGTTTTAAATGATTGTTAATTTTTCATATGCTGGACAGTACTACAATGTTCAATGCAAATTGGAGAAAAGTATCCATTTGTACTGCTTTTCTGGGTGCAAAGTGTCTTCAAACTGCATGGGTTTTCCTCCCACCCCTGCAGGTAGTTGTCCTCAGCTGTGATGTGCC